TTATATTGGATATAGCTAGAATTTGGTATGTCTGAACTTCCAGAAGGAAACTTGTTAAGAGCTAGATGGTAAAATTTTGAAATGAAAATGCTAAGGAAGGTATTCATTGGTAACTTAATACACACAAATGGACGTGAGGGAAGGCTGAGGGTTTAGACAATGTTAAGTGCTAAGAAACCTGATTTGGGTGTAGAGATTGATGGGGTTTTACTCAGCCATGTTCCTTCCGGTTTCAGTCTTAATAGTTTTGGAGCAATTCTGAGAATGGAGAAAACAGCTATTAGCAGTTAAGCATCCTTGCTCTGTTTATTTTGGAAGTAGTTGGCAAAGGGGAAAAGCTTCCTCCCAGAGTCCTTCATCCAGATGATTTTAATAGTTAACAGTTTTTAAATTTTTTTTTTTTAATCTTAGTAAAGGAAAATTATTTGTGTATTTTTGTTCTGTGCGTTTAGAAAATCTGTCTCTTTCTGTGTAGGTTCACCAAGTCGCAGTTTCTACCAATACAGACAACACGCTTAGTATTTGACTAATGAAGCTCAATTTACAAGGTTTACGTAGAGAAGAGTTTAGGAACTATTTTTTAGGCAGGTATCCCAAGAGAGGAACCAATAAGGAAAGGAAGATAATTTGAATGAGAGTACAATGCTTCTCACTTTTTTTTTTTTTTTGAGACTAAGTCTCACTCTGGCACCCTGGGTAGAATACGTTAGCCTCATAACTCACAGCAACTTCAGACTCCTCTTGGACTCAAGGTATCCTCTTGTCTCAGACTGCCAGGTAGCTGGGGCCATAGGTGCCTGCCACAACACCCAGCTAGTTTTTCTGCTTTTAGTAGAGATGAGGTCTACACTTTACTCAGGCTAGCATCAAACTCCTGAACTCAAGTGATGCACCTATGTTAGCCTCCAGAGTGCTCGGACTATAGGCATGAGCCATCAGATTTTGCTCACTTTTTTAAGGTGACAGTGTTGTACCCCTCATGACCTGAAAAGATAGACTCAGACCCCACTTAGATGCAATTAATTGGTGATTTATTACACCTGCACAGGGGACCACTGCCCTGAGAGGCAGTCGGCCCCAAAGTGGAGGGCAGGTTGTCTTTTATACCTTTTTTGCATAGCTGAGCAAGCAGGCCAGTACAGAAGCGAAACATTGCAGTTACCTCCGGGCGGGGTTACAGCCTGGGTAACTATGGATACACCTTGAGTAACAATAGTTACAGCTTGGGTAGGTTTCTACCATTGTTTGTCTACCGGGAACTTGGCGGGGGGGGGGGGGGTTGTGAAACTTGGGACTTTCCATGCTTCCTTGTTCTGAAACCTTTTCTCAGAATCAACCCAGGGTGAGGGGCAGTGGGGGGAGAAGGGGAATGGGCTGGGAGAGGGAATGGAATGGGAACTTGTCCATTACAACAGTTTACTGATTACTTGGTGTTCTAATCAGTTATTTTCCCCACCCACCACACCATACCCCCCTTTTAACTATTTTATACTTTGTAGTTTTCTGACAGTTGAGGCAATAACATCTTACTGGGTGTTTTTATAACGTAGCGCCCTAATAGAAGAGTCTATATTCCAGCCCTGAAGGGTGCAGTCAATGATTAAACATAAAATTCTGTCCAGACACATGATGGAGTCACTTTAAAATGCTGCTGCCCATGGGCTATTTGACAGCTGTCTGCCTTGATGTGATATTTAAATCATGGTGAGACATTAGAATAGAAATATCAATTTGCAACCAAAACATGTTTCTGAAGAATGAGAAAATTCAGACCAAAAGTCTAGGCATCACTGGAAAGGATTTTGATGAGCAATTGCAAATATCAGTGCATCTAAGCTTGAAATGTTACCTGTTGGAGTAGAAAACTATTCTTGTCTGTAATCTCTCTTCAAGCTAAGAAAGTGAAACTAGATAGAACCAAATTGAGAAACTGAACAATGATTTTATCTCCTACCTAGATGGATGCGACAAGCTCAAACGGTCAGTCATCTCATCTAGGTTTTGAACTCCTGAGAGGAGAAAGGAACAGCGCCTGTTTATATGTATGGTCCAGATTGCTCAGTGCCGTAGTTTGCCCATTGGAGATGCTCATCGTGTATAGAATTATCTCCCCTCATTTTCAGTGCAAAAGACTTAGCACTGAAAGTGGCAATTACTGAATTTCTATTCCTTAATGAGGAGAGACTTCCATCTGGTATACACCAGGCATATCACCACCAAAGACCATGAAAGCCATGTTGCATTTTTGCAGTAACAGACATAAGTTTAAGAACGTTTATGAACTGTCAACATCACTGTAAATCCCTATTGCCAGCTCCTCCCTGACTTGTGCCAGCTGCAAGGACGTGTAGCCTGCACAGTCTCATAGGGCCCCACACTTGGCTTAATGCTCTGCTGTCACCAGCATGAAGTTATTAATGATTGGTCAACAGGGGGTCCTATGTTCTTATTTTGCACTAGGCCCTCCAAATTATGTAGCAACTTGCTGGTAGTTCCATCTTTCGTATAGTTCTGCTGACCAACATGGTGTGATAAAACCTTCCTTCTGGAGTTTACTTCTGGTTATGACCATGAATTTCTTCTTTTTTTTTTTTTTTTAAGAGACAGAGTTTCACTTTGTTACCCTCAGTAGAGTGCTGTGGCATCACAGCTCACAGCAACCTCCAGCTCTTGTGCTTAGGCGATTCTCTTGCCTCAGCACCCTTCTCACTGAGCCACAGGCACTGTCCCATGACCATGAATTTTATAAGCATATCTAGATCAGTATTTAGGCAATTCACATCTGCTTTTGCAACTTATCATTAATGATAAGCATTTGAGATTTTCTGATTTCTAGAGCATCAGATAACTGTCTTCTTAGTGATTAGTTCCCCACGTATAATTATTCTTCAGCCCACGACGCCCTACCTGAGGCCTCTGCTCTCTTCCCCTGCCCAGACATCCCTGTTGTCCCTCACCTCCTCAATCAGTTTCTTCTCAATTTGAGTGTAAACAAGAGGACAGCTGCCAACTGTAGCGCCAAGGGGCTGTCTGTCCAGTGTTCCTAAGGGCAAGAAGGCTGTGATGTGTCTTAGAGAAAATAAGTATATTAGGTAAGCTCCTCCATGGCACGAGTCAGACTGCTATGGCCATGAGTTCAATGTTCATGAATCAACTACGTTGATGGATCAGTTAATGAATTAGTTAATGAATCAATACATTAAACATGGTGTCTTTAAACAGAAGCACACACAAAATAAGTTATGCATTGGTCAGTTGAAGAAAATGGTTTAGGGGCTCCTAGGAACCTAACCCCATATATTCCCGAGGAGCAGTGCTTTAGTATTTGCTAATTCAGTATCCACAAGAACTTAATAGAACATGAATAACAAGAATTGAACGTATTTGTCAGGTAATGGGTGTATGCATAGGTCACCCTTGATTTTATCAGATTAATTTAGTACCATCCTTAGCAATGTTTTAAATTTTACTTTAAGTTGTGAAGTATATTTATTTTATATGTTCATATATATAATAGTCATCTATTATATTTCATGTATTCATACACTTATGGGTTATTTATAAACTACAATAAGAAAAGAGCTTTTAGAAGACTTTTTGACTTTTATGATCTGAAACAGTAAAATATTAAAACGTATTTATATATTCCTTGCTAAAATCAGTTACATTGTTTATTTTACTAGCCTTCATTCAGCTTCATCTAATTACTAACCCCCAAGGATATCTGAATTTAAGAAATTACAGTTCCTCTCCTGAGTGAGCAGCACATCTACAGCAGGCACCTCACCTAACAAATGCAAGCATTGTGACCTAATCATTTGCACCCTCATGTTAATCTGAAATTTAAAACAAAAAGAAATTACAGTTCCAAAGATAGAATTTAGTTCACTAAAAACTACAAGTAAACCATATATACTACTCCGATCACTCAAATATATTTATATATATTAACTAATTAATGTATAATGTGGGGGGTTGGGTCATTCTCACTTTGAACCCCAGTGTGTCTGTGCCTGAAAGAATTTGCAGTTACCTTAAATTTATAGTGTTTTTATGCAAACTCTACTGGTTTCTAGAGCCTAATAGACTTATTGTTTGTCGCTCTTAATGCTAATTGATTGGCTTTTGATACTTTGGGGGAGGATGTCTCATTAGAATCAAAAGGATGAATTAGCTAATTGTATTTAACATTTGAAAGGATAAGTGAAAAGGGGAAAACTCAAGTTGATTCCAAAGCAGAATGAGAAGAGATAATTGGCATATTCTTCACATCTTTCTTCTGATCAACCCAAATGTGAGACAAAACAAATCCGAGACTCATCTTTGAATAGGAAGCAGATGTGCTGAGTATTTTCTTACTGCAGATTTTTTTTTCAGCTGTTTTATCTTTAGATACTGATTTTTGTCTAGATGAGGATGTTGGGGTTACTAAAATGGAAGTCCTCACTTCATCTTTTGATTGATGTCTTCTTGATGCCAGAAAATAAATTTTCTCTCTTCTTATCTTCAGGCTGTTACTCTTCTAAAGCCCGGTCAGTTCTAATGCAGCCGGCTTCTGAGCTTCCTGGCTGCTTGTTACTCAGCAACTGTACGGGAAAGTGTTTGTAAGCTACCTCCGTTAAACAGATTTTGTAAAGAACTGTTTTATTTCTTGGTATTTAGTACAAATGCCTTTTCATCCAAAAGTCCTTACTAATGATTATTGGTATAATGATTCTGGCATTTGCTTTGCACTTTGTAATCTTACATAAAGTGATTTCCATGAGGTAGCTCTCAAAAAATCCATTAAGAGGTCAGTGAAAATCATAATTTCCTCAGCAGGAAAGCTGAGGACGGAGAAGGTCCAAACCTTGCCTCCCGGTTAGGCTAGTAAGCCTCTGCTTTCCTGGTCTGCGCCACGGCTTTTTTGTGTTTTTGTTTTTATTTCTTTTCATGTCCGTGCCTCACTGCTGTATAGACTGGCTTCTGTCCTGTAATAGCTGATGTTGTGTCTCTTGCAGGGATATTCCAATGCCCCTGGTCAGCTCCGGCGTGGAGCACGGTAATCTGAGAGAGCTGGCACTGGCAAGGATGAGAGACCTTGGAATACAGGTGAGAGGAGACACAGCCGGCAGACCTTCACCTTGATCTAAACGCAGACATCTCTGGTGCCGTCACACATGCTTTGCTGTGCTGAAGGCGTTCTCACTGTGCGACGTGTTGAAGCTGAAGCCACACGGTCGTGGCAAGGGCTGCCCCCGTCCTTTCTCCACTTCTACTTTCTTCACCCTACTCAGGTTGCCAACTAGGTGCTCAGCTCCCTTTTTTAAAATAGCTTTTCTTTTGAATTATTGGGTGTTCAGTTCTTGACTGAAGGAGAATGAGAGAGAATTCCTCAAAAAAAAATTACAGCCATTTGAAGAGACAAGTATTATGTGCGTGGAAAACATGATCAGAAATGCTGTGCCCACATGTACTAGTCTCCTTCATCCCATCCCGCTGTCTACCCAAGTTTCTTGTTTGTTTCACAGATGTTTACTGAGCACCTCCATAGTGCTGGTCCTGGAAGTATTACTACAGAAAGCCCAGGGATTGCGAAGCACTCCCTGTCAGGAGAATGTGTGTAACTCAGTGCCTTAGGAACTTCCTAGAGCTTCTAAAGAGATAAGCCAGGAATGGTGTCCAGGCCAGGATACCGGACCCCTGGGCTCTGCCTTCTGAGATTCCGAGTTGACTAGGTTGAGAGGGGACCGTGGCCTCTGTTTCTGTCCAGCACTAAGTGTGTGGTTCTCATGCATAGTTCAAACAGAGACCACACTTTAAAGGGCGTTGTTTGAAGGAGTGTAGATCGTGTTGGGGGACTCATCTGAGACATTTTATTCTCTCAAATTGTTATGGAGAAAATTTTTCAGAGGATTATTTAGCCAAAGGAGGATTTGTGAACATTATCAGCTTAGTCTATCGAACAACAAAAAAAAGTGATGAATAGTTTTAAGTTCTAGATAAACAGCGAATGCATTTACAGTCATTAGCAGTACCAGACAAGATGTGTGCCTGCCTGCTGCCCAGCTGCAGCTATCCTTGCTGTCCACATCCTCTTGCCTCTGGGAGTGCCCCCGCTGCAGGGATGTCTGGGCCTGGCTATCCTGACAGTCTCATTATCCATCCATCTTCTTTATCCCTGTACCCCTCATAAGCTTCGCTCACCTCTGTTAAAGTAAACTAGGATTGATCATAGCCAAAGACATCTTGTTCCTGTAGGCCAACATCCTTAACCTGAAAATAAGCATACACTAATCTCTATCTTTTAAAAAGCATGCCAAAAGAAAGAAAAAGCAGTCATTAAGAACGGTTAACTACAGTGTGTTCCCATGCTCTCTACTTTAGCTAAAGGACAGCAGCTGCATTTAATGGATTAGTAACTCCAGAGACTTGTGATCCTTGTCTGCTGTACAGTTTTGTTTAGTATGGACTCTGCACCAGCAAAGCATTATCGTGGGCAGGCTCTTAGGGCATAGAAATGGACTTTATGTTTATAGAAGTGAATAATGAGCTCCTATTTTTCTCATCGAATGCTCTGTATGTGAGTCTATACACATGTAGCATTATTGTATATAGCTGTCCTTCACAAATATACCATTAGTGGGGTAGCTTAGATGACATCATCAGATTCCCTAGTATGATCGTTCCTCCCGGGAAGAAAATATTAGAATCTTGAAAAAAAAATGACTGTGGTTTGTTCTATAGGGAAACATGACGTGCAATGGAATAAGGATTTTGTCATTTTAAACGTCAGGTTGTGTAGTGTGCACGCTGGGCTGTGGGGGGAGCTCTCGTGCCTGGGGTGTGCGCTGCACCGCGCTGGGTCGTCTCTGGCACTTGCTCCTCCTGGGGATCTTCAGGGAGCCTTTGTGAGTGCGGTTCAGGTCGTCTGGCACACAGCTCTGCCCTCCCTCCTGCCTTCTTTTCCTTTCTTTGTGCTTCCCTTTCTTCCCTCCCTCCCTTTCTCCCATAGTGCCCTTCTCTGCAAAAACACAACAAAATTGTCAAAAAACAGCCATCTTCAACACGCATCTTTTTGACATTTCTATTACAAAATGATACAAATACAGTGATGCTCAGAATGTTCACTGCCCTAAAATGGTGAAGGTTTTAAAAATTTAGAAATTTGCTCTTTTCTGTATACATAGTTTGGGATTATACTTTCAGGTAGTTATGTCTCTTGGCAAACTATTTTTTAATTTTATGACTTAATGTTCTTTACCCCTAAGATTAGATTATCTTGTATTATATTAGTTTCTTTTGAATTCTAAATCTATTTTAAAAGCCATAGTGTACTACTTCATACATTTCCATTCTGCTTTTCCCATCCTCAAATTTATTAAAAATAGTTTTAAGTTTTAAATTCTATTCTATTCTTTTATTTTGATGTAAATTTTGTTCAAACTTAATTTGGAGCCCAGGGTTGGACAGAGAGATTTAAATAAAAATTAAATAAATGACCAGTTTTGTATTTGCCTCCTATTTTTTGGCAGTGCCGAGATGTGAGAACCAGAGAGGTTGGAATCCAAGAAATTCATCACAAAGTACGGCCATACCAGGTTAGTTTCTTCATTTTACTGAGGTTGGGTTCTGCCTTAGCTCCTTGCCAGGTGTGGACCCATACCTTCTTACTGATAGGACCAAGCCCTAGAAACAGATAACTAACAGCCGAGAGTGGGGATTAGATAGAGATGTCAAGCCAGGACGGCCAGATCTGAGGGTGACTGAACTCTAGAAGAGCTTGGGTAGGAAAACCAAGTCTGAACCGCATTCTCTATCGCCCTGACAGTGGAACTTTCTGCAGTGTTGAAATGTCCTGTCTGCGCCCCATCCAATATGGTGGTGACTATTGAGCACTTGAAATGTGGCTATACAAATGAACTGAATTTTAAAATTTATTTAATTATAACGAGTTCAAATATAGTCTCCTGTGATTATTGGCTACATTCAGATAGAACACGGTATGATCTGTTTATCTCTTTTTGTGTAACTGTTAAACGGTTGCCCGTGATAATCAAATGAACTCATTGGCCCTTATCAACAGGGTTCCACAAAAATTAAGTGCAATGCCTAAGAACATTCGTTACACGTACTGCATTAACTTCTCTCTTTTACATGGATAATAATAACTACTACATGCCAGATCTTCAGTGGGGTTTGACTCTTGTGGAACCCCATTTGAGAAAGGTTAGAATAGATGATTTCTGCATTGATGTTATTGTTCTCAGCATCAATTATTTATTTTATTGACATTTTTCACTGGATATTTTGAGGGAAATTTAGACCCAGCACATTTTGCCGATTTCTTCCGCAGTCCAGTCACTTAGCAGGCATTAAGACGAGAAGGCATGTAAGTGAATTGTTCACCTCTGCTGGGTACCATCTGCCCACTTTGAGGACGTGTCTGGGTGTGACCATGTCCCCATGTGTAGGTGTTTCTGTGCATGCATATGTCACATTTTGCTTATAGTTAGGCAAAGCACAAGGGCCTTTTGTGTCTACAATAAACTGAAGAATCAAAAGCCCATGTACATTGCTGCCGTAAAAGCTTCCTCCATTGACTGAATTGTCATTCACTTTTTTTTTTTGAGACAAGAGGCTCACACTGTCACCCTGGGTAGAGTGCAGTGACATCATAGCTCACAGCAACCTCAATCTCTTGGGCTCAAGTGATCCTCTTGCCTCAGCCTCTCCAGTAGCTGGGACTACAGGCGCCTGCCACAACGCCTGGCTAGTTTTTTCTATTTTTAGTAGAGATGGAGTCTTGCTCTTGCTCAGGCTGGTCTCGAACTCCTGACCTCAAGCAGTCCACCTGCATCAGCCTCCCAAAGTGCTAGGATTACAGGCGTGAGCCATCACTCTTGGCCTCTTAAACATTTTTATCCCATAATTATGCATAATATTTTAAGTGCCCTGTGGGATGCCACGCTTTCTTAGAATCCTGTCAAGGAACAAGGCAGGTTTCCACGGAAGAGATAAAGACTAGAAAATGAAACCACCGACCACCTGGCAGTTTTGAGGTGACAAGGTGCTCCTAAGAGCTACACATGTGACATAATCTGTGATTTTTACATTAGAAACTCTTCATGGAGAGCCAAGATTTAAATACATGAAAGCACTTATTGAGCTGGATCTCTGTAAGAATCTCAAGGTTGATGAAGTTCAAATATTTGTGGACTTACGTAATTTTTTTCCTTTTATAACAGTTTATGAGCAAGATATAAATTTCTGCTTAATCTTGGTGCTATTTGAGAGTAGACAAGTAAAAAGAAACACAATGACTATTCATTCTTTATCCCTAACTGTGGATATTAGCCCAAATAAATGCATATAATTACAAAAGTGAACTTGGTTCTTTAATTTTGAAAAATATTTTTTGGTGACTTTCTGTTGAACAGGTTGAGCTGGTAAGGAGAGATTATGTTGCAAATGGTGGCTGGGAAACATTCTTGTCCTATGAAGACCCAGATCAAGACATTTTGATCGGCCTCCTGCGGTTACGAAAGTGTTCGGAGGAAACCTTCCGTTTTGAATTGGGTGGAGGGGTCTCCATAGTCCGAGAGCTGCACGTGTATGGAACTGTAGTGCCTGTGAGCAGTCGGGATCCTACGAAGTTTCAGCATCAGGTATCCCGTCTTCCATTTCTATTTGACTTACAACTAAGAAATGGCCCAAATAGGAAAAGAGAAAGGAACAAAGTGAGGGGAGGAAGCGGGAGGAGCAGTGCAGAGCCAGAGGAGCCAGTGTTTCAGCTGCTCAGAGATGTTGTCTCTCCAATTTCACCCTTTGGAGTACGAGGGGGGAAGAAGAAGGGATACGCCACATGGAATTGCTGGTTTTGGAAAGTCAGAAATTTCATATGCATTAACTTATGGAATCAAATTAGATGATGATATGAAAGTGCTTATGAAATGTTAGAACACGTTACAAATGTAAGCTGCATTATATGTAGTAAAAACCTAATCCCCAAACAACCTATAATAACTTCTTAAAATTTGAGGAAAATGTGCTAAAACCACTACTGGTGAATATAGTGTAAGCTCCAGTGTTGATGATTAACGAATTTTGCCTGGCTTAGTGCCTGTAGCTCAGGCAGCTAGGGCGCCAGCCACATACACTGGAGCATGCGGGTTCAAATCCAGCCCAGGTCTGCCAAACAACAGCAACAACTACAACCAAAAAATGGCCGGGCATTGTGGTGGACGCCTATAGTCCCAGTGGCTTGGGAGGCTGAGGCAAGAGAATCACTTAAGCCCAGGAGTTTGAGGTTGCTGTGAGCTGTGATGCCACAGCACTCTACCCAGGGTGAAGGCTTTACATTCTGTCTCAAAAAAAGAAAAAAAAACAAAACAGAATTTTGCCTGGTTTCTGGACCCTTTAGAAAGTAGAGGACAACGCATAAAAGTGTACTGCCCCAGACTTCCTTCTACCTCCTTGATATTGCCTAGAACTTACCTGAAAAGAGACTAAAGTTGAGGAGTTACCCGCTTGCTGTGACTAGATTACATCATCCACAGAATGCCTTTTTGTGGCTCTTGTTGGAAAGTCGCACCTTGTTTAATTGCTGCAGAGTACTTTGGGTATAACTGAATGGTTTCTTTTTCATTACTCCCATAAATGGGCCTTCATCACTCTCATTTCAACAGATTTGAGCAGCTACTAAATTACAGCCTTCTCATTTTATGGCCCCCTCTTAATGGACTTCCTGCCCTCTCCCCCACCCCCTCTTGCTCCTTGCAGGGATTTGGCATGCTGCTGATGGAGGAAGCGGAAAGAATAGCTAGGGAAGAACATGGATCTGGGAAAATAGCCGTTATATCAGGTAACTGGGGGAGGGCCAAGTTCATGGTCATTCACATTTTAAACTTGGTACCAGAGCGAAAACTATCTTGGTGCTGTCTTACCTCTGGTTATGGCCATTGTGTTTATAACTGGGCCACACTGACAAGTGAAGGACTCTACTCAAATGCAAAGAAAATTCCCGAGAGCTGTTGGGTGGGATAGAGCTGCTGAGCTGTCTGAGGGACAAGCCAAGGACCCACATCCCCCCCTTCACCTGCTGTCACACTGGCCAGCGAGGTCAGCTCCTCTCTCTGCTTTGTGGGCAGTTACTCTCTCTGGGAAAGTGGAATTTGATGAAAAAGATCCCAGAAAAATGTCAACCAATGTGGAGGTTATCACTATTATTATTCGGAAAATTAAAATAGAACCTCAGCTGCAAGATGTTTGGAGTCAGAGTTTGGTCCTTACGTTTTCTTTTGGGTGACTTTGTTCCTAGGGAACAGCTTTCCCTCTTCACATTCTGAAGGTCTAGGGGCCCCTCCATCTCCAGAGATAAAAGGTGTCCCTTTCCCTGGGGTCTCACTTGAGGGTGCTATGTCCTGCTTCTGGGGAGAAAGGTGGGGGAATGTCAGAATGCGCTTCCAGAACCCGCTGTTTGAAATGACGTTTAAACAAAAAAAAAGTAAGGTGTTGCCATCAATGAATCAATACCCATGCTCAGATTTTAATGACTATAATTATGAAAATGCAATGACCCAGGCTCACTTTCTCATTTAGTCTGCTCGAATTTTTGACATTATCACGACAGACTAATAAAGCCCTTTGTAACATCTCTAACTTTATGTGTTTTTCTCTGTTATCTTTAATCCTATAAAAAGGTAACTACATGAGGCTCACCTAAGAGTAAAAAATGTTTGCCTCTTAGCTGTTTGACCTGTGGTTGACCAGAAATTCCTGGAAAGGGCCAGACTGACTCGGAACACATATAGCTGAGTCAGGTTGATAATACCTGAGATTTCCATAGCCCCTTTGCCAGAGCAAAGGGAATCTTATTAAAATGCAGATTTTGACTCATTGGTCTGAGTGGGGCCGAGAGCCTACATTTACAGCCAGTTCCCAGGTGGTACGGATGCTGGTTGTCTTCAGACCATGTGTTAGGTAGCCAGATTTTAGTATTCTCTTCCAAATGTGTTCTCATCCCAGTCATTAAAGTAATGACAGCTCTCTTGACCCTGGCAGTGCTGCCTTCCCGAAGTCTGATGAAGACTGATAGACCTTGGCATGATTTTCTAGTGAACTTGATCATTTTTAAAGCTGAGGAGCATCCATATTCTGTCCCTGGTGGTCTACATTATTTTATTGGCCTTCACAACATCTGTCTCTTTTCCAAAATGTTGCCTGCGGGGAGCAGCCCTGCCTTGCCTCAGGTCATAGCCAGTCACTCAGAAGAGCCTCCATTTCTGCTTTTATGAACAGGGTGTCTTTCTAAGTGGGAGTCATCATCTGTCCTCTTTCTGCCACATTTGTCTTTCTAGTGCTTTACCATCATTTAAATAATAGCTCAATTTCAGATCATCTATCTGCATGTGGAATTTCTCATATAACAAGAAGAGACTTGCTCTTGTCACCTGGTGCCGTAGCCCTGGAATGCCTCCTGGGAACAAAGCGAGTTCTTTAGGAGGAAGGACAGGGTGCCACTCGGGCCTGAGAGTCCCCCCTTGCTTTCTATGGGGGAAACAACATGGGTTTTGGTTTTGTTTGACTCAAGCTCTGGTCACCCTTCAAATGAAAAACGAAGAACATAGGCAGTGTATTTGATTTCTCTCATTTAGTAATATTTTATGATTCTGTGTAAGTTTCTGAACCAGACACCTAGAAGCCCACTCTTCAGAACTTGAAGGCGTGTTTGTTTTTTTTTTTTTTTTTTTTTGAGACAGAGCC